TCATCCGTGGCCCAACCCCAAACCAAGTCAAGGATTTTGACTTCAAAGACCTGGTTTTCACACGCCGGTACCCCTCTTGTGAATGGTACCACCATCCATTGGATCACAAAAACCAGAAACTCAGGAAATCCTGGCCTCCCTCTCCTTATTCTCCAACTTTATCAACAGACCTTGTGGGTTTCACCCCCTACAATCTCTTGAACCCAAGTCTCCTCTGAACTTGCTGCTGTCACCCTTGTCCTGGAACCATCACCTCTCGCTTGGACTCTGAAGATCCAGGCATCAGCTCTTGTTTTTTTCTTATCACTGTTAGAACAATGATTTCTAATTGCACATGGTACACATCACTCCTTCCTTCTCTTCTTTACCCCCACCTTTCTGACTTAAAGCCTTGCAATGACTTTCCAAAACTCTTAAAAGAAAGCAAAAACCCTTAAAGTAGGCCCCAGTATCTGCCTAGTCTGGAGCTATCATAGTCTCCCATGTCATCTCCTGTCCGCCTCTCCCTTGCTCTCTGTGCTCCAGCTACATTGACTTTCTTCTGGTCCTTCACATTTATCCCAGTCCTCCTGCCTCTATGCCTTTGCACATACCTGCCCTCCCACTAGGCAGGGTTCACAGACACAAGCTTTCAGATTGTGACTCAATCTGATGTCCACCAGGAACTCTGCCCACCCTTCTGAGTGCTCCCCTTCAGGGCCCTTCTGTGGGGCGAGTTTACATTGATGCTCTTTTGCCAACTATCTCCTCCAAGCCCAGTGAGGTCAGACTCACTCCATACCCAGCACAGAGCTAGGCATAGAGAAGTCACATAGGAAGTGTTTGATGACTGACTAAATAAGCAAAAAAAGGTACTGTGTTGGGTTCTGGGGATACAAAGCTGAATAATAAAGCACAGAACTTTCCAGAAAGCAACTCATCAAATTGGGAGTAAAAGAGGTCAAGCAGATGAGAAGATGAGTAAACAAATCTAGCTTGCAACGTAACTGAGGAGCTGCCACATCCCTCCCCTAAAGGAGATGGTGATACCCCAGTCCAGCTCATCCACCCCCTGTGAGGCTCAATCTAGGTGATCTGCCAACCTACTGGGACCCTTAGTCACCAGAGTCTTGAGTGTCCCTGGGATGTTCTGCTGCACTGTCACCTCTGTATCCCAGCGTGGTAATGCCACCCACACTGCCACACACTCCGCAAGGGTTCCATCCTTGGGAACTGGGCATAGTGTGGGGCCTGGTCAGAATGTAACATTATGGAAGGCTCTGGCTACAAGGTGAGCACTGCGTAGAGGACTGCAGTCAGAAGGGCGCCAGTGCCTTCCGGAGAGTGAGCTCATCATAGCCTCAGGCCAAGCCTGGGAAGGTAGGGAAGGGTAATGATTTTTCTCCCCACTGGGCAGCTGGGGACACTGAGGTCAGTAGAGATCAATTAACTTGGCTGAGGCACAAGAACAGCTTTGGAACAAAAGTTGGAGAAAACCCAAGGGCCTCTCTGTTGAGTCCACAGGGCAGACTGATGAGTGGAGAAGAGCTCCACAGCTGAGGGCGTGCTGTAGTAGGAACCTATCCTGCTCGGCTCCCTTGGTATGGGACGTTTCCATTGCCTCTTTAGACCACCAAACATTGAAGTAGATGGGCCTTGAGAGCATCAGATCCAGCACCCTTGTAAAAAGAAGTAAACTGAGGCCTGAGAGATGAACCTCCTTTGTTCTCCTTTTCTCTTCCATGCCCTATTGATGGTGTCAGGTGCTAATGTAAAGGTTGTCTGCTTTCTATCCAATACTTTTTCCACTTCTTTACCCATATGACTTGCCTACCTTTCTCACGTCCCTAGGTTTTGGTGAGCCAGATCACCATATTCTTTCCTGCAGAATGTAAGAGAAAGTCCATCGAAGTTTCCCCTACTCATACCTGTGTATTCTTTTCATCTCTGACTGATCAAACTTGCAATTCCTAGGACATCTTTGGAAATCATATATTGTAGAATGACAGAGCCACCATATTGTACGAACCCTAAAAGACTGTGTGAAGGGCTCCTCATGGCATGAGCATCAGTGTGCGGGTCTGTTAAGTGAACAAGAATGAAACATCATGGTATTAAGCCACTGCATTTTGGGGTTGTATTTGTTAGTGCAGCCTAGCCTAAGCCTAAGATAATATCAGTAGAGGCAGGAAGGCCCTACAGAAGCTCTGACTCCATGCAGTCCCCTGGGGTGGAGACACTCAGTTCCCACTGATTCCACTGCCAACCACATGGAGAACCCCCTGCTCCTAACTCTGGAGAGGTTAGGAATGCTGACTCTTAACTCACTTGTCTGTAGAATTTGGTCTCAGTTGGCTTTCTTGCTTTTCATTGTACATCAAAACACTCCCAGGGCTATATGGGTCTGTGAGATCAACTGACTTATCTTCCCAGCTCCAGAGAAGACCTCATCCTAGCCATCTGAGATGATCAGGAATCTTGTCTGGATTTTCATGTTCCCAGGAAGGAAAGAAAAGCTACCAATGTCCTGAGATACCTGTTTCATACCTCCTTGTTCCTGTATCAGAGGATCTTTATTGAATCTTAAAGCATCAGAGCTAGAAAACTTCTTAGTAATCATTTAGGACAATCTGTGTTTTACAGATGAGGACACTGAAGTCCAGATCACAATTAAAACATGGTAAAGTGAGAGAAAGAAGCAAAAGCTCTAGGACCAAGCTGACTACTCTTTCCAAGGTTCTATATTGCCTCCAGTACTGATTTCTCTTGCTCCGTCCTAGGAAAAGATTTTTAAAGTGCTGCGGTACACTTATCTCTGAGATCAGTCTTTCCAAGTTCTTCCTGTGTCTCCCTCTCTCAATCCACGGGTTAAGCCCTGCACTTGGTCACTGGGCTTAGAAGGCAGGGAAGATGACAGAGAGATAAACCCATGTTGCTTAAAAACCAGGCACAGGTGGCAGGTGCATGTTTGCCCTTGGGCGCTGGCAGGAATGGTAGACTTTAATGGGATTCCTGCATCCAAAGGCGAAGCCTGGCGGAGCCATTAAACCCTTAAACCTTCCTAGTTGCTGTGGGAGCATGACTAGCACCAGTGAAATGTTCTCTGTGGAAGGGAGGGAGTGGCGATGACCAGAACTGCTGAGTACAAAGCTCTGGCCTGTTGGGGCTTGTGTGGCTGGATCTGGGCAGCTGTGCAGTCCTGCCTGTTAATGTGGGAGCCATCCCCAGAGAAGTTGAACAGAAGCCATGAACAAGCCAAGCTATTTACAGGGGTTACAGTTTGGCGCTTTTCTTTGAGAGTCCTAGAAATTCCATGAGAGAACAAGGTCAGGTTTGCTCTGTGGTCCTTCAAAAACAAAACAAAACAAGACCACATTTTTACCGTTCCCTTTCTCATTTAAGGTGAGCTTGTTTATACACAGCAGCATCCTTCATGTTTTCTGCCAAATGAGTCATCTGTACTGAGTCACCAAAAAGCGGCCCTGGGCCCATCTGCAGCTGCCCCGGACACCATGATCCATTCATTTGGCAGTCAGACAGGGGACCCCAACGCACCAAGGGGCTGTGGTAATGTTTTCAGTTGAGACACAGTCTGAATTAACGCAAAGTCTGAGTTAGGAAACAAGAATGAATGATTAATGACCCAGTCATCCAAAGATACATCAATCTTTGGGTCTGATTTGAGCAAATGATTTCCCCTTTTGGAGCCCCTTTTTCTTCACTGACAAATGAAGAGGCTCACAGTCTTAAAATTCTGACATTTCGTTATTTATTTACTGGGAGGGGAGAGGCCATGGAAGTTTGAAGTCATAAAATTTAGACATTTTATTATTTATTTACTGGGAGGGGAGGGGATATGGACACACAAGGAACTTTACCAAGAAAATCTGTTTACACTGAATCTTTGACGCTCTCTCCCGAAGCTTTCATTTCTCCTTCAGTGATGTCCGTGCATTGCTTTGTTCAGTTTGCAATCTGCAGCCCTTTTCCCGATTGAATTTGCCCTAGCCGAGCCTGAATTCACAGTTTTCTTTTCCCTGCGGCCTGTTTGGGTGTCCTGGCGGTGACAGCTCCGCAGAACTCTGGTGTGAGCCAAAGGCAGTGGTCTGGGTGGGAGCGGAATCCGGGCTCGGGAGGGCGAAGCGGAGTTTGCAGATCCAGCCCAGGCCAGAGGGTTAGGTGCTCGGCTTGGCAGAGGCAAGCTGGGCACCGCGCTGAGAATCTGGGCAAGTGGGGGCCACTTCAGCTCATCAGGGCAGTGACAGCGCGAGGCGGGAGCAGGCCAGGCTCCGCTTCTCTCCTATCAGAGTAACCGGCACAATCTAGTCGGTGCGAATCACACGAGGGCCTGTTTTCGCAGACCTACTGTGCGTCTATGGAGTTGGCAAAGTGGCTTCTCTTTCGGAAAGCTCGGCCTCAGCATTTTTCTCGAAAGGGCAAAGCGGTGCTCCAGGCGTGTGCCTCTGACCGAAGTTGCCCCGGGGCTCGGCTGACCTCGCCCGCCGCCCCCGGCCCTCTGTCCTCTCCCCGCCCCGGCCCGCCGCGCGGGGCCGGTGATGTCAGCCGAGGAGGAGCCGCCCGCCCGCGACCCGCCCGGC